AGATATAAGTCAATATATGCAATATGACAGAGATAGTTGTTGTATTTAGCTATAGGTATAAGTCGATATATCCAATATGACAGAGACAGTTGTTGTATTTAGTTATAGATATAAGTCAATATATGCAATGTGACAGAGACTGTTGTATTTAGTTATAGGTGTAAGTCAATATATGCAATATGACAGAGACTTTTGTTGTATTTAGCTATAGGTGTAAGTCAATATATGCAATATGACAGGGACAGTCGTGGTATTTAATTATAGGTATAAGTCAATATATACAATATGAGAGAGCCAGTTGTTGAAATTAATTATAGGTATAAGTCAATATATGCAATATGACAGAGATAGTTGTTGTATTTAGTTATAGGTGTAAGTCAATATATGCAATATGACAGAGACAGTTGTTGTATTTAGTTGTAGGTGTAAGTCAATATATGCAATATGACAGGGACAGTTGTTGTATTTAATTATAGGTATAAGTCAATATATACAATATGAGAGAGACAGTTGTTGAAATTAGTTATAGGTATAAGTCAATATGTGCAATATGACAGAGATAGTTGTTGTATTTAGTTATAGGTGTAAGTCAATATATGCAATATGACAGAGACAGTTGTTGTCTTTAGTTATAGGTGTTAGTCAATATATGCAATATGACAGAGACTGTTGTTGTATTTAGTTATACGAGTAAGTCAATATATGCAATATGACGGAGATATTTGTTGACTTTATCTATAGATATAAGTCAGTGTATGCAATATGACAGAGACAGTTGTTGAATTTAGTTATAGATATAAGTCAATATATGCAGTATGAGAGAGATAGTTGTTGTATTTAGCTATAGGTATAAGTCAATATATCCAATATGACAGAGACAGTTGTTGTCTTTAGTTATAGGTATTAGTCAATATATGCAATATGACAGAGATAGTTGTTGTATTTAGTTATAGGTATAAATCAATATATGCAATATGACAGAGACAGTTGTTGTATTTAGCTATAGATATAAGTCAATATATGCAATATAACAGAGAAAGTTGTATTTAGCTATAGATATAAGTCAATATATGTTTGCCGCTTTCCAAAAGTTGACGTTTTTTGTGTGTGTCAAATTGATCACCAAAATAAACAGTTCAGACCACCCTGAAAGAAAACCCCAAACAAAAGAGAAGCCACTGACGTTATACACATGCCACTACTTGGAAAAAAGAACTGTATATATCCACCGGGACAGCTGGTGTAGCACCATTCCCACTGCAGGGTCCAGAATGACAACGTTATTTGCGTGTTTTATATGACATGGAAACTGGATATTTTATGTTCATCCAAAGCTACAAAATCAGATATATTTTTATTAATTAAAACTTGGAGTCGTAATATTTTTTTTTTATAAAAATCCCAAAACATCCTGCAACATTAAGGTTTTAACAGTCTGAATTTAAATTTTTGAATAAAATCCCCTGTCTTAAGTCCGCGCTCTTTTGGAAATGGGGCGGTGATGATACCCATTTTACAATCGTTCACTCGTAACGCCGAAGAACCGGGTTCGATTCCCATTTCTTGTATTTTGCTTGAATCCTGCTTATAACCAGCGTAAAATCACTCCCGAAATACGAAACTCCCGAGATACGAAACTACCAAGGTAACAACTACCAAGATAAGAAACTACCGAGATACGAAACCCCTGAATTACGGAACTACAAAGATCAAAACTACCAAGATACGAAACTACCGAGATACGAAACTTCTGCGTCACGCAGTTTCGAGGATACGAAAGACTTGAAGCCATGTGACTCTATTCCTCGATATTTCGTGGATACACATTCGGTGTTCGTGTAAAAACTACTTATCAGGAATGGATTGTATCAAGAAATTTATAAAATTAGAACAATCTCGAATGTAGACATTTCCCCAAAATATCACGGAAATATATAGGTCAATGGCAGAGATAAATCAGTCTCGATTATCGGAAAGAGATTCCAGTAATATAGTGGTTAAAATGAATGAATGGATCACTGCAATCACAAACAACACCAGAATAAGCATGTCTTGCCCTACCAGAGTTCAGTCAACATCAACATAAAGAACGCGTGTTGTTTCGATGTGTTCAGGTGTATGATGGTTTTGTTTGTTTGTTTGTTTGTTTGTTTGTTTGGTTGTTGTTAAACGCCGCACTCAGCAATATTCCATCTATATGATGGCGGTCTGTAAATAATCGAGTCTGGACCTGATAATCCAGTGACTGACATCATGAGCATCAATCAACGCAATCGGGATACAATGACATGCATCAACCCAGTCGGCGAGTCTGACCACCCGATCCCGTTAGTCGCCTCTTACGACAAGCATAGCCGCCATATACGGCAAGCATGGGTTGCTTAAGACCTATTCTACCCCTGATCTTCACGGGTCTAAGGTGACTGTAATGGTGACCCTTGTCACTTGGTTATACCCACATCTGATCTTCTTTTACCAGGAGAGTTATAATGTTATTGCCGGATGTCTGAATATCCATACATTCTCCATGGACTGGCATTGGGTATTGCGTTTTCGGTAACACTTGCACAACCCCTTCTAGGCCACACGTATATACTGAGCTTCCTGTGGATTCGAAAACAGGCAAATATTTTTAAGTATCTACACAATGTACAACACTTCAAAAACCAAGTTGTTGTTTACCGCCGCACTCAGAAATATTCCAGCAATATGACGGAGTCTGTAAACAATAAGGTCTGGGTCAGACAATCCAGTGATTGACATTATGAGCATCGATCAACGCAGTAGGGATACGATGACATGCATCAACCAAGTTAGCGAGCCTGACCACCCGATCCCGTTAGTCGCCTTTTACGACAAGCACAGTCGCCTTTTACGACAAGCATGGGTATCTGAAGACCTATTCTACCCCGGATTATACATGTATTTGTAGTTTGTTGCCAAAGAAACACACTTTTTTTTAGAAATACCAAAATGTCAAAATGCACCAGGTCAGTATGCGTTGTATGTAAAGTTTCATAATATGTCAGTTGATTTCCGAATTATGCACAGGAAACGAAATGTGACGGACTGATCGACAGCCACCATATTTATATTCCTTTTCACTTCGGGACTGGTGATAAGCTAAGAAATACACTCATTGCAATATTGTCTGAACACAATCAAATGAAATTAGACACAGTGACCGACAAAAGCATCGTCGTCATTGTCAGCATTTACTCAGTTCAGTCATTGCTCATGTGTAACCACAAGGGGGCGTCATGGTCAGTACCTGGTCACACCACCTCTTATAGCCGTCACTGCTCGACACCTCCTTGGCACAGATCGCACAAGTCGTCGGATTGTTTCGTGGGGAATTCTTCGCTATTCCTCCCGTAAGGCGTTGGCGAGTTGTTCCAGTGTGTGGGGACGCTGGTGACGTTGACGGACGCGTCGATCAAGTTCGTCCCACAAATGTTAAATCGGGTTGAGGTCAGGCGTTTTGGACGGCCATGGAAGGACATTGATGTTCTCATTAGCAAGGACATTAACTGTTGCACGTGTTGTGTTGGGCCGAGCGTTGTCATGTTGGAACAGCTCCCTCTGGCGGTCCAACGTTTGGAGGAGGTGAGGACGTAGAATTTGGTCTATGTATCGGTTTGCTGTAAGCTTGCCCTAGACAACCACTAACTGTGATCTACCCGTGTAGGATATGGCTCCCCACACCATGACACTCCCTCCACCAAATCGGTCCACCTATCGAACGGAGTTCGGCGCAAAACGTTCATGTCGACGTCGGTATACACGTTGTCTTCCATCCCGTCGTTGAAGAAGAAAACGTGACTCATCGCTGAACCAAACACGTCACCAGTTCCTGAGATCCCATGCCTGTACTCTTTTGCACCACTGGACGCGTCGTTGACGGTGAAGACGTCGCAATACAGGTCAAACTTTTGGTCGTCTCGCTCGAATTCCGACTTCCCTTAGACGATTTTTTTATGCTTTGGTCGGAAGTTCTTCGAATACCAGGCACTTGTCCTGCAGTTTCTGTTGCTGTAGCAAATCGATTCCGAAGGTGATGCAACCGGATGTACCGATCCTGAGCAGGGATTGTCACTCTTGGTCTTCCACTTCTGGGGTGACCTTGAGTCGAATTAGTGCGGGTATGTCGATCTTATAGTCGAGATATGGTGCTTTGGTGAACGTGGAAGTGTCATGCAACGGCAGACTGGGACACCCCTGCTTCCAAACGTCGAATGGCGATATTTCGGTCAGCTGCAGTTAATCTTGGCAGAAGAATTCAGAAAATTCGTAATGAACTGATGAATTTTCTACGGTCTTTTATAGTCAGTGTCTCTACTCTTGTTTCCAACATTTTGCACGTGCATTGTGCTGAAGACTTTTTCTGAAAGCAATTTCCGTGCATCCTTTGCATTTTTGTTGATAAACGTTTACAAAACAATATTTTGAGATGTGTTAGCGCACAATGCACAACAAACATGACATGATTAACGGGAATCAAACATAAGAATTGTCTTTATGACGATTGCTGGAAAAAAAAATCTAATTGGAATTCTCAAAACACCTATTCGTTTCTCTTTTTGAAGAGTGTATATGAATACAGTATCTGCAGGGAGCGAGCATATAATAATAAAATACCAGTGGCAGGGGGAGGCTCTTTGGAGACATATATTTTCGGCTGTTATCTTCTTCACAACACCTTTTTTGTCAGGACACCCAAGATAACCAACGAACAAATTTTTCTCATTTTTTGAAACCTGGGGCAAAATTATATATTTCTATTATTTTCTGGAACAAACTATTTTCTTTTAATATTTCAAAGTGTCTGTCTCCCCACAACAAGGATGAAGCCTCAGGGGAAGGAGTCTGCCATTGTCATATTTTCTCATCACGTTAGATAGTGAAATTGTAAGTCTTACCTTGATCTCTGAATGCAAAACTGTTAATAATAATATCTGTTGGATGATATACGCTTCCTTCTTTCCCAGAGAAAAAGGTCTCTGTAATTAATATTTGGTCATTCTGTACACTGCTCCAGAAGACAGACCTAGAACAGACCATTGTGACATCACAGTGTGTTTGGGGTTTTACGCCAAACTCAGCAATATTCCCGCTATACGACGGCGGTCAGGTGGAATACTACGGAAAGGAATCTTTTTTTGGAATTTTGATTATTTTAGCCACGGAATACAGCAGGGATTGGTCGCTTGTATTGGCGATATTGTATCCAAATTGCGGTAATCGATGCTGTTGATGTCAGTCACTGGACTGTTCTATTACGAACAGCGAGCCGTCGCATTCTGGAATTTGCTGAATGCAGCAATAAACAAGAAACAGAAGAGAAGAAACATTTGGCATCCGTGTCATTGTACTTACATTTGGCATCCATGAACACTTACATTCGGCATCCATGTAAACTTACATTGGGCATCCATGTACACTTACATTCGGCATCCATGTACACTTACATTGGGCATCCATATACACATACATTGGACACCCATGTACACATACATTGGGTATCCATGTACACTTACATTGGGCATCCAAATATACATACATTGGGCATCCATGTACACTTACATTGGGCATCCATGTACACTTACATTGGGCATCCATGTACACTTACATTGGACACCCATGTACACATACATTGGGCATCCATGTACACTTACATTGGACACCCATGTACACTTACATTGGGCATCCATGTACACTTACATTGGGCATCCATGTACACTTACATTGGACATCCATGTACACTTACATTGGGCATCCATGTACACTTACATTGGGCATCCATATACACATACATTGGGCATCCATATACACATACATTGGGCATCCATGTACACTTACATTGGACATCCATGTACACTTACATTGGGCATCCATGTACACATACATTGGGCATCCATGTACACTTACATTGGGCATCCATGTACACTTACATTGGGCAGCATGTACACTTACATTGGGCATCCATGTACACTTACATTGGACATCCATGTACACTTACATTGGGCATCCATGTACACATACATTGGGCATCCATGTACACTTACATTGGGCATCCATGTACACATACATTGGGCATCCATGTACACTTACATTGGGCATCCATGAACACTTACATTGGGCATCCATGAACACTTACATTGGGCATCCATGTACACTTACATTGGGCATCCATTAAAACTTACATTGGGCATCCATGTACACTTACATTGGGCATCCATGTACACTTACATTGGGCAGCATGAACACATACATTGGGCATCCATGTACACTTACATTGGGCATCCATGTACACTTACATTGGGCATCCATGTACACTTACATTGGGCAGCATGTACACTTACATTGGGCAGCATGAACACATACATTGGACAGCATGTACACTTACATTGGGCATCCATGTACACTTACATGGGGCATCCATGTACACTTAGATTGGGCATCCATGTACACTTACATTGGACAGCATGTACACTTACATTGGGCATCCATGTACACTTACATTGGGCATCCATGTACACTTACATTGGGCATCCATGTACACTTACACTGGGCATCCATGTACACTTACATTGGGCATCCATGTACACTTACATTGGACATCCATGTACATATGCGTTGGGCATCCATGTACACTTACATTGGGCATCCATGTACACTTACATTGGGCAGCATGTACACATACATTGGGCATCCATGTACACATACATTGGGCAGCATGTACACTTACGTACTTTTTGTATTCGGAGATGTACATCATCTCTGGCCGTGCCTGTTGTATAGTCACGGTAGTTCGCTTGTCACCCTCCAGTAGTTCTAAGTGCTTGTTTCTGAGGATCGCTGTGACACCACCAGCGGACACCAAATCAACAACATCTGCAACTGATATGCCTTTGATTTGTTATATGTTTTTAAAGCTTTTTCAGGGGCGGTCGTGTAGCCAAGTGGTTAAAGCGTTCGCTCGTCACGCATCCGGCCCGGGTTCGATTCCCGACATGGGTACAATGTGTGAAGCCCATTTCTGGTGTCCCCCGCCGTGATATTGCTGGAATATTGCTAAAAGCGGCGTAAAACCATATTCACTCACTCACTCTCTAAAGCTTTTACAATTAATTGACGTCTTTAACATTGGTTGGTTGGTTGTTGTTTAACGCAGCTATCATCAATATTCCAGCCATATGACCGCGGTCTGTAAATAATCGAGTCCAGACAATGTAGTGATTGACATCATGAGCATTGATCCACACAACTGGAATACGATGACATGCATCAACTAAATCAACGAGCCTGATCCCGTTAGTCGCCTCTTGCAAGCATAGTCGCCTTTCACGGTAAGCATTGGTTGCTAAAGATTGATTTGTAATAAACAGAGCCGATAACATAAAGAGGCGGTCATCTGTATCCATAAGCTTCCCTCATATAATATTTTCAGCTATAAATGGACCCCGCATAATTCCAGGACATGAACACATTTTTGTACTATCGGAATACAAATAATGTCGCTTAAAAGTCGTTTTTCGTTGTGCCCCAAACACAGTTGACAAACGATGCAAGCAGTTCTTCGATTGTAACAAAACATGCTCTCACATAATGGTAAAATAGATATTACTTACAATTGTATTGATGTGGCTTTTTGATAATTTTCCCGTCCTCGACTGAAATGGATATTCTCTGGCTGGGTGTACACACAATCAAGGGTTTCTCAGCATCGCCATCATAGTAAGCTTTGATAGCATGCTTCGCATTGAAGCGAGTTTGGAATACTACTTCTTGGGTTTTGGTAGACACGTAATACAAATAGCCGCCAGTTGTCACTAGAACCAGGTCGGTATCCTCTGTGGGTGGGATAATCTTGTCAATTATTGGCTCTGAAATAAAGGGAACAATTTGCTTGCAATCATATTAAAGCACAATGTTTTGGTGTTGAATGGGCATGCCACAATAACTGCCAAATCAAGTTTCCAAATCTACACCAGAAACAAAAGTTGTTTACTAAGAGGTTGAATGTGGGAAATAAAAAAAACACATTTTCTTTGAAGATATCTATCGTGTTTCCTGCATGAAATGGATTGCCACACATCCTTTGAATATTGTAGTCACTGCAACTTTGCATTTTGTAACCTATAATTGAAGGTATAATTATTTAAATATGCCTACCGACAATGAATGACAAAGGGTACTATTATATGAATTTTAGCTTCCGCGGCCGTCAAACCATATGTTTGAATCAGAGGGGGGTTGTTGTGATTTGGTAGCCTCTGATTAACCAATCAGAATCGAGTATTGGCCAAATTCATCGTAACATAAAGTTTAACTTATGTTTTAATCAACGAAGGCAAATATATCGGGGTTCATGAGAAAATCATATATACCCAAGGGTTTATATCACATCACGAGACAACAGTGTATTGTTTCCGCATTGTTGATGTCATTCGAATCTTATTGTCACGTCAGGTCGGAATGACGTCACACTAGAAACGACGTCATAGCTGAAGATTGTTGACGTCATTCGACTAATTGTGGTTCCGCTGCTGTTGCTACCTGCTGTCCTTGTAGGTAAACACGAACATTCGTCTCCCAGAATAAGTCTCGTTTATTTCCTAAGTATTCGTGTTAATACAATAAAATGTTGACGCCAATAATAAGTGAACGAGTTTGTGAGTGAGTATGGTTTTACGCCGCTTTTAGCAATATTCCAGCAATATCAGGGCGGGGGACACCAGAAATGGGCTTCACACATTGTACCCATGTCGGGAATCGAACCCGGGTCTTCGGCGTGACGAGCGAACGCTTTAACCACTAGGCTACTATTACTAGCTTCGATCACTTAGAAACGTGGCCAATAGTCGGATCGAGTGGCCGTTGTATTTTCGTCAGTCTCTATATGTCATCTTTTTACCAGGGTGTTGGAAAGCCATGTCAAAAGAGAAACGAGTCAGCACCCCTTTTCCCCACCCAACACGGAGTGTCAACAAGGGCAGCCTTATGCTGCAGCGGATCTCCAAGCTGCAAAGACCGAGGATAAAGGGATGGTTTACTCCAGAACATTTGACGCGAACAGCAATAACTATCTACCAAATTAAGGGCCAGGCTTGTTCGGACCATGTCAATTAATTGGTGACGTACAGAATTTGGAGGTCAGCATCACCAGATTGGCCCATGAGCCACCGCCTTCTGGGCATAGGTCTCTAAGCAAGTTTTATAGATTGATACATATATATAAGACACTTTGAATAAATAAATTTTTAGAAACTAAAATATTGTGCGAAATAGTGGTCGCCGTGATCAACCACCAGACTCCCTTCCTCTACCGACATAGGGTCGCAGCCCTCGGCATACAGACTGCCCGACTCGGTCGCCTTTTACGACCACCATTGGAGTATTGGTTGTGTAACGCCGCACTCAGTAACATTCCAGCTATATGACGGCGGTCGAGTCTGGACCAGACAATCCAGTGATTGACATCATGAGCATCGATCCACGCAATTGGGATACAATGACATGCATTAGCGAGTCAGCGAGCCCACTGAAACACCATCCGGGAGTTTAATATGGACCCCCACTAAAATGGTTGATGCATGTCATTGAATCTGAATTGAGTGAATCGATGCTGATGCAATCACTCACTCGTTCATACTACCCTGTTTGTCGACATACAGACAGGTGGGGTGAGTGAGTATGTATTTACGCCACTCTTAGCAATATTGCAGCAACATCACGGCGGGGGACACCAGAAAAGGGCTGCACACAATGTTCCCATGTCGGGAATCGACCCCGAACCCGAACACTTAAACCACTAGGCTACCCGACCGCCCCACAGACAAGAGGAATACATATAGATACAAAATAGCGGGATTAAGCAAACATATAATACAATAATCTCCTTAATCCCCACCACCAAAGCCTGTATTATATTTCCGAATACCAACCTGATTCACTGTCCTCGGCCTTCCTCTGTGTTCTGACATCCTAACAAATAGAAACAAGAACTGCATTGTCCTGTAAGTAAAGCTCCACATGAGAGTCAGTGAAAACGTTCTGATGAGTGAGTGAGTGAGCTGTGTTTAATGCCCCCTTAACAGTACTCCAGTTATATCACGGCGTGTCAGCTTAATGTGGAAGGAAAGCCCGAAGTGATGCAGGTCTTAGACGTGTAAAACGTCGGTGAAACCCACGAGCACGTGTATGGTGCAAACAAACCTAGAAAAATAATCGGGGCGACCCGGGATTCCAACCCACAATCATAGGTTTCTGGCGTGCCCAAGGGACAATTATGTTTCTAGGTTTGTCAGCACCATACCCGTGCTCGTGGGTTTCACCGAAGTGGTAAACGTCTGAGACCTACATCACTTCCGACTTTCTCCCACATTAAGCTGACTCGCCGTGATATGACTGCAATACTGTTGAAAGCGGCGTTAAACCCAACTCACTCACTCACTCACTCACTCACTAAAAAACAGTGATCAGTCAATTCTTGCTTAGATTACCTCAGTCTCATTAAAATCAGATACACGTTCTCGCTTTCACTGAGTATATCCCATTACAAGTAACGTAAGAACGACCTTTCGCGAACTTTGACCGACCAATAAAAGGACAAACAGGAAGTCGACATTCGCCACTAAGAAAGCAGCTTTCTTAAGAATTGCGGAACTAATTTCAAACTGGCGACTTCCATTCCAGAGTATGCTTTTAAAAGTGATTCAGTCATAGAGCCCGTAACAGTAGTTTTGTGTTTAGCTTTTCTAGGTTGCGTGATCAGAAAACACATTCTGCTAACAATGTGTCACAACAATATGAATATTTCCTTTTCCTTTTTTATTACGTGTTTGTATCGTTATCTCTAGTGTAGTTGTCCGATTTTCGATCACGAACGTTGATACCACTTAATTTCGTTCATCAGACATACCCGTTAATCCGACATAATCATATGCAACCAACCGTGTCGGATTAACGGGACTTGAAGTAGTTGGAGTTCTTATTATAAAGGAAAGGGTTTTGTCACTTTTATGTTTCCCCCGACGTCATCACTAATAGCGGCGTTAACCCCAACTCACTCACTCACTCACGTATCCAGAGGTGGTATTTTTTACGATTCTTTTCATGTGGAATCACAGAGTCACAACAGTAGTTATGTCACTTCTCCGAGACTTTTTCACGAGAGAATGTGTACCACAAGATGTAGAGTGAGTGAGTGAGTGAGTTTGGTTTTACGCCGCTTTTAGCAATATTCCAGCAATATCACGGCGGGGGACACCAGAAATGGGCTTCACACATTGTACCCATGTCGGGAATCAAACCCGGGTCTTCGGCGTGACGAGCGAACGCTTTAACCACTAGGCTACCCGACCGCCCCTCAAGATATCATTTAGCTTAGACTATTCATTTCGACCAGTGAAGATCCGGGGTGGAATAGGTCTTCAAAAACCCATGCTTGCTGTAGCAAGGCGACTATGCGTGTTGTAAGAGGCGACTAACGGGATCGGGTGGTCAGGCTCGCTGATTTGGTTGATGCATGTCATCGTATCCTATTTGCGTGGATCGATGCTCATGATGTCAATCACTGGATTGTCTGGTCGAGACTCGATTATTTACAGATCGCCGTCATGTAGCTGGAATATTGCGGCGTTAAACAAACAAACAAACAAACCTGCTTCTTGTCTCACCTATCCTCAAATTTCAAATAGCTGCTATCAATGTGGAACTCCAACATTTCATGGCATTCAAAACCCACCTTTATTTCATTAGCTGCCCAGTAGACAGGCGAGTCTGTGTTTGAGTCCGGTGTGGTGGACGTCACAACATGGCAACTCTTGGCAGCAACAACGTAAGCATGTCCCCGTGCTCCACGTGAAGTCACCTTGACAGCACAGGACAGACGGGATGGAGTATGGTAAATTATCGCCCCTTTTGCAGAACTCTTCATGCCCGCCGTGGTCCTGTGGTAGAGGACTGTTTGTATCTCGTCTCGGACAGGAAGACTTGCAGTGGCAGTCGATAACAGCATGATGACCAGCTTCCAGGGAGTACTCCTCGACATCATCATCTTGCTTCCTGGAGATTCAAAGAAAGTGTGGTTAGCAAGTTGTCGATGTCATGTTGGTCATTATGTTGACTGATACATCAAATGGAGTGACTAATGTGTTATTCTCTACATTTGTACATCATCCTCATCATCTTGCTTCCTGGAGATTCAAAGAAATTGTGGTTAGCAAGTTGTCGATGTCATGTTGGTCATTATGTTGACTGATACATCAAATGGTGTGACTAATGTGTTATTCTCTACATTTGTACTAGTATCGTTCTTCAACAACACAGATGAGTCCTAACTGGGCCGCCATCATAATAATATGCCCAGAATATTGCTGAGTGCGGCGCTAAATAAACATATACTTCACAATATCAATCACTGGATCGTCCGTTCCAATCTATGCGGGGTTAAACAACAAACAGACGAACAAACAAAAATAAAAAAACATATATTGAACTCTACCCGTGAGATATTTCCAGTAATGTACAATGTGGTCTCGTCACTCGTCGCACCAACAACTATGTTTACCATATGGACCGTGCATACAGGTAGGGTTGCTACAGGAATACTTGAGCTTTGATCATGTTTCAGTTAGTTAGTTCTGCATTAATAAATTACGTATGCAACCCTAATGAATGAAATCCAATAGTAGCTCGTGTTAACTTAGACTTAAGAAAGTCCATTGTTTACTTAGCAGGATAAAGCGTACACGATTATATTGTTTTGATGGTAACAATAACTAGGCAGGATACTTGTGCAATAATATATGTACTTCTCTCTCGCTGGGAATAACA